CTTTTCCATTAATAAACAAAAATTATTTAAAAATAAAAATAAATATTTTATTATAAGTCTAAATTATGAATAATTTAAAAATAAAAAAATTTATTTAAAATTAGAATAAGATTATTTATATAAATAATTATTGAGATTTATAATAAAATATTTAATTTTAATGTTATCTATTAAAATTAAAACCAAGATGTGAATAAAATTATAATTCGACCCGTGATGAATCGGTTGATAAAATCTGAATTTATGCACAAAAAGGAGATTATATTAATAAATTTTCTGAATGAGTTGACGAATACACGGTTCTGTGCTTTACAATTTTGTTCGTGGAGTGAGTAGTAATATCCATTGAAGAGGATAGAATTGAAATTTCACAGCTGCAATGAATGCTTACTACTATTTATAAAGATCGGTGACGGCATCCGAATATTTTCATTTTCGATGAGGCAAAATCACTTCAAAAAAGTACAAAGATGTTACAATCCAGCCATCTTCAAATATGTCAATCAACTGGTTTGAAAACGCATTTTTTCTTTTAATAATCACTTTTTTTAAAAAAAGTTGAGCTACATTAACACTAATAATAATGAGTTACATGTATAATAAGTATTAAAAGATAACTTTTTTTTTTTTTTTTTTGCATAGGAACGTGAACTAATTGAGTCAGATTATATAAAATTTATAATTCAATCTAATAAAAAATCTCAAGTTAAATGGGTTGAGTTATTTGTATTTTTTTTAAATCCAATCCAATCTTGGTGGATGGCTAAATTAGGTTATAAATTTTTTAAAATATATTTGTTATTAAAAAATTTAATGTTAAAATATGTTTTTGATAAGTTTTTAAAAATAAATCATTTAAAAAATAACTATATTGTTTAATATTTAAATATTATATATATAACTAATATAATAATTAAATCAAATAAATACTATTGTATTATTATTTAATAATTTTTGTCAATAAATTAAATAAAGTCTTTGATTAAATATATAAAACTCATCATTCAACTTGTGAAAATTGAAGATTGCGTCAAATAAAAAAATTAATCCAATTTATTTGAGTTAAATTAGGTGAGTTTACTATCTAATCCAATAAATGCCTTAATAAAAAATAAAATATCATACTAATAAAAGGATTGAGTAAATAGAATAAAAGCAAATGTTGAAGTTGAACAAAATATTTTGACAAATAAAAGCTGGGAGCTTTATTTTATTTGAAACGAGATTCTGGGAAAACAAAATATTTGAACAGGTACGAAAATGCTAAGGTACGCACACCAAAAGTTGGCAAGGAGAAGTATAAAATTAATCAAACAAAAGCATCACCAAGTTTGACAAAAATAGTATAAAAATGTTCATCATGCCCTCCGAATATGATGCCACTAGGAATAATAATAATAATATTATTATAGTAAAATTGTGGAACAACGTTGCTATGTTCTTAAACTATTCAAGAAGCATAAATATTTCGAGGAGATTAAGATGTCACATCCATAAAAAAAAGAAGAGCAGTTACGAGAAGAACAGAGGCACATCGATGAGAAGTATTAATTAATGAAGTGCAATTAAGTAATGTTGATTGTATTGTACGTGTAGTTACAAATTAAACAAGATTCAAAGACACATTAGACTTGTTAAGGTTCGGGAAAATCATTTGTTTTTTTTGTTTTGTTTTTAAACTCTGACCAAGTCAGAACAACGTTGGATGGACATCATGGATGATGATTCACCTTTTGCAACAACAAATAAAATAAGTGATAGTTTATTTATGGAGTCCAAATCAACCAACTGAAATCATGTGACATAATATTATAAGGGTAAACAGAGAGAGTCGTAAAATCCAGTGGAATCTTTCTGTCGCTAACACTTTATTTGGATTAGGAAACCATGTTCTTTGTATTTTTGGTATATTTTTGTAGCATGATTGAAAAGCTTGGTTTCTTTGAGAAATGGAGTGAGGGGAAAATATGGTTGTAAATTGAATCTGGATGGAGTACGTGGTGGGAAGATATCATTGTTAATGAAGATCAAAGTGAGAGAGAATTAAAAAAGTTGTCTTTTTCTTGATGGTATTGAAGATGAAGAAATTGCATGGTGGATATGGACCTTTCATCTAATCGAGAATCACATGGTTCATCTTTTTGTTTATTCATGTTCTAGGTTTGTGCATTTCGGAACCCGATATCCATCAATCCTAAATCAGATGCCATTATTCTTCATGATAATCGGTTTTTATGCACATCTTCACACTAATAATCAATTTACTTCAAAGAAATTGTTTATAAACCATTCCGATTAAGTTTCATTTCAAACAATTCGTAGAATTCTTAATAAAGTATTTAATTTTATTCTTGAACAATTTTTTTCTAAAAACTCATTTTGAATATGTTTAATCCTCTTAATTAACTTTTGATTTGATTCGTGTTCCATTAATAAATGTTTGGAGTTTAGTAAAATTGTTATTACTTACTCCTCTCTCTCTAAACATTGTTTATTATTTAATCTATCTGATGAAACGTGGCAAGATACTGGCTACTCATAACTCGGGGTGCTGATACTCGAAGGAAGGACAAGAAACCTAACAAATAATCAACCAAAACCAGATCAAATGTATTTGGATAACATTTAAATTATATTTCAGATATCTCAATTGAATTTGATCTATATTCTTTTAAGAAATAAAGATATTATGAACAGTTGCATATTTAAAATGAAAAAAACATTAATTTACTGGATAATGTTTTGTAAAATATAATATTATATTTATGTTATTTATTTAGTATACTATAAAATATACCTTAATTTAACTTTTATGTTATATTTTATGATTTAACTTTACATAATATATTAAGATTGATATATTATATAAATAAATTATGTATATTATCAAGCCTTAATTAGATAAGATTCAAATCCAAACAAATTTTTTTAAAGAGACAACCCCAGTGGAATTACATTAATTTCATGTTAGTAACATGGCTAAAATATTTATTTTAAAAATGAGCTTTTGGCCTTGTTAAAAATAAAATAATCTATATTTGTTTTCTTTATCTCGTTCCTTATGTCTTATGATACTTTATGTTAAATTAATTCAATATTTTTTATTAGTTATAAAATTAAAGGAAAATTTACTTTCCTAAATTATTCTAACTTAAAATACCCTTTTTTAGTAAAGAGGGCCTAGGGCCTAAAAACCGTTACTTTATTACTTTTATTATTAATAATATTTCATGCATTGTAAGGATAAATATCTGTATAATTGTCATTAAATAAAGAATTGATAAGTTGATTAATTCATGTCATAGTAACCTTATAATATTTACCATGACTTGTGGTTGATTAATAATGCATGTTTTTTTTTACTATATATATATAAATCAAAATAAAGAATATTTCCTTAAATATATTTTCACAGTTAAGGTGTATTTAATGTTATTTACAAGGATATGCAAGAATTCTTATAAAAAGAAAACTGTGAATGATGAAATAGTTTTTTTTTTCAATAGATAACACGCAAATCAGTCATCTTCAAGTCGGATAATATTCATTTTAAATCTCTCCTTTTATAAATATTTAATGTGGTTGTATGTTAAGACATATTTTTTTTGCATAAATACTTCTAAAAAATAAAAAGAGAAAGAAATATTTTTCCATAAATCAAAATTAATTTATAGAAATCCTCACAATTTCTATAATAATTTGTAAATTATATATAAATTAACTTTAACATATGTCGAAATTCATTTTATTTTATTTTTTCTTCTTAAACACGTTTACATACAAGTTATCTAAACATGTTTCCATATGCAATATACGACGTAGGGGAAACAAAGACACGAGTACACTGTTTGATTACTAAAAGCCCAATGCGTACTTTGGGCTTTTATTCAATATGCAATATAACGTTTGATTTGAATATTTTTATTCAACTGCCTGTCATGAGACTTGCGTCATATAATAAGGGAGTAAGAGATTAAACAAACTTCTAACACAAGAAAAAAAATAATCACATTTTTTTCATAACTAAAATTACCTAATACATAAATTAAAAATATATCAAAAAACTTATATAGCTCAACTTAAGCATAAACTATTTTTTTAATTTTTGAAAATCTTATTCAATATTTTAACTTTTTTTTTTCTTAAAAAGTACTTGTAGAAACATATCCAAATAGATCTGAAATTTACTACAGAAAATAAAAGGTGTAAGTTTATGAAGTTAGGATAATTTGAGACCATGTTCTGTTGGATTTTTCCTTTTTCAGTAGTGAATAAAATGGTCGGATCCAAGATAAGGTCGATCCCCCTCCCATTTTTTTTTTGTCTGTGGCTTAAAGTAAATGTTTTGAAGCAACTAATTTTGTAATAACTAATAGAATCTCAGCTGGACTAGAAATTTATACCCCAATTAATTTCCTGGAGGTGCAGGAGGAAACCCTCTCCTTTGATGGCCAAACATTAAAACAAATGCTTCCGGAAGGTCATATAAAAGGCTTCCATCAAACTAGGGTCCATCCATCCTATATATTAAATCAAAAGACAAAGGCAAATCTAGGGGGAAATATAATTTAATAGCATATTTTTCGGTAAACAATGACTACATTACAAGGTAGCCAGTGCACTTTCACCATATCATAAACAATTAACTAATGCAATCATTGAATAAGGTGATACTATCTTTTATCATATATACCAAATTTTAGATAATTTAGATATCCACATCTTGCAAATATAATAGTGGATTTTTTATTTTAACTACATTATTACACTATCACAAATAGTGTCTAATGACGTATCAAATAATTTTGTATTATATGAAATTCGTAAACTACAAATTACACAATTGACAAAATTTAACACACAAAAATTTACCAAGATAATATGTACAAAGTTCCCACATGAACAAGAACTTTTTCATAAAGATAAAGCATGTAGAAAAGAGGTTCTAACTTGCAGATGCCATTTTCTACGTACGGTCTGGCTTTAACTTCTTTTTTTTGTCAAGTATTTTTGGTACATAAAACATATTCCGAAGAGTCAACGGCAAGAGAGCTCAATGACAAACCTTGGCAATGAATAGTGTTTATTTCTGACCCTTTCATTTCTATCCCATCATCATCCAGCAGAACCACGCCTGATGAAGTTATCTTAAAAGGGAAAGCCAGAGGAGGTGATATAGGAGATTTTGCTAACTTAATAAACCTTTGACCTGCGAGGAATTGAACTTTTGAAATTCAAATACTTAATACAAACACAGAATCATATATTACGATAAATATGGAGATTATTGAAACTTGTTAGAATATATGTTAGTTGTATTGCGTTGGTTAGACCCAATTGTTTTTAGGTTGGCCATTTAGAAATTGCATATACTAGGACACTTTTGGTTTTCATCTTTTTTATTCCAATAAGATCTTTTTAAAAGTTGTTTTGAACCTAAAATAAGCTAATATAAATTTGGGTATCAAATCGTCAATGGTCTGTATCAAATAATTCACATTCTATGGTAAATAAATTATTATCTTTTGTGCTCCATCCCTAACTCTCTTTTTCATCTAAATGCGAAGCTTTGATCGCTTAAATTTTTTTAACCAAAACACATCAGAATTTCAGCTAAGAAAGGAGACATTTAATAAAACTCATCTGCATAACTTTCTCATTTTACAAACATAATGACAGATAATTAAAAAACGATTGATTACTAATTTATGATGATTCAAACAAGTAACGATGTAGAAGACTCCAAGGACAACTGAACTTGTTATTAAGTAATGCGTACTAGGTGTCTTGAAAGTCATTCCTATGACTTGAAGTCACAACCCACTCCAACAATTTAAGTCCAGGTGGTATCTAAATAAACACTTGCAAAAATATACATTTTAAAATCAAGAGGGTACAAATCACTGCAAATTAACCGACCTGATCTGGCTTCAAGTACAAGACGGATGGTCACAGCATGAGCCCAGTTAATTCCCAAAGCAGCAACCAGATGAGAATCATATGTAGCAGGATTATCTTTTATTATAGAGCGGCTTTGTGCTGTTTAAAAGTACAGTGTTATGTAAATCTACTATTTCAAATCTATTCAGATCCTTAGGAATAAACTAAGCAACCAAACAAGGAACATTTCCTGGAAAAAAAACAAATCTTCCCCAATAAAAACTTTTCTGTTTTATGTTCTTAAAATCAACTAATCCAAAAATATAGTTTTTTTCATCATACCTTGAAAGGAATACATGCGAGATTCATCACCAATGTGAGATCTTACTTGATTTGTCAATACAACTGGAATTCTTGAAAATTCAGCAAGTGACCTGGATGCCTTCAAATCAGTACACCACAATGAAAAAGTATGTAGTTCCTAATTGCAAAAATATCACAAGTGACAGTGAAGATGGTATGGTTCTTACTTGATAAAAGAAACATGCCAACCCAATGCTTGTTGTCTAGAGGTCCCACAATCATGTTCACTGAACAGAAAAATTGAAGAATTCCAATGCATGAGACATTCATTACCAGGTGGATATTATAAGAATAATTACAATTTGATGAACATTTGAAGCGAGCATCCTTGAGGTATGATCGAAAAACATTGCCCAAACGCTAAAGCTCACCCTAAAACTAGAGCAGCCATGCTATCAATGATGAGCAATTTCACTTGTTGCTGGAGGAGTGATACTTTGATCTGGTGCAAACTGGTAGTGTTAACACATCATTTAGTATATTAACAGTTTCATTTGTCTGGTAGAAACCTAGAAAGAGGAAAAATAAAACAGGAGCTGCGAGTCTATGACATTTCTTCTTGCATAATCTGCAGCATGTTATATGTAGTGAGTTTGACACCGAAGATTTGTAGATTGAATTAGTGCATCATGAATCAGACACAACCTTAAAGAAGAACAAAAACCCATTTGGTATATCTGGTTCTAGTCTACTCATAAATTAGTGATGAGCTTTGCTCAGACGAAAAGAAATTCCATTGATATAGTTTACGGAAGAGATTTTAAAATTAAAGATTTAACAAATAGTAGTAAGTCCCTTAAAAAAGAAGTCATTTTCTGCTAGCATGCATTTTGTCCAGGGACAAAAAGACGGTCTTGATAGAGTAGGCCTGATGTTTTAGTAACCCATTGCAACTGGGGAAGAGAATAAAATCAGATTTAAGAACAAAAGCAAAGGCATTGACTAAAATAGTCCAGTGGCACTCCAGTCCATTTAAATGAGATTGGGGCATAAAGTAACTACCTGAAATACATATGTAACCTATAGTAACTAACAACCTTTGAAACCTTTATTATATATCAAAACAAAGTCGGTCTTTTTCATTTTTTTTTTCCAAAAGTAAAACTATTAATTATCCCGTTTTGTTTTGTCCTTCCTAATTAAAGATTTGATATTTTTCATGACCATCCTCTAGTGTTCATAATTTCCTCCAAAATATTGCATCAACTTTTTAAGCTGTGCAGGTTTCCTTGTACATGAATAAACTTCAATAAGTTTTCATCTTTTGAACCTATACTGTCTTATACTTCTTATCTATCATTCTCTTGATTCCGATTACCGTCCTTGCTGCAGAGAATAACTACAACTAAGTCGTGGAAATTCGCACCTCTCAGCAAATTCAGAAAGTGATGTAGGACGCAAAATCAGGATTCTACCAGCCATCTGCAATGTGTCAAGTAAAAACGATACTCATCAAGTTCGAATGAGATAGAAAACCCATTAACCCCGGACAAGAAATGAAAAAAGAGAAACAAGTTGTATACCTCCTGTGCCATTCCCTTCTTCAGAAATATTTCAGGAAAACTGTTTATTCCAATCTCTATCAACCTGGGTAACAAAAGGTAAATTCAATATGAAAGATACTACAATGTAATTTTTTATTCCATCAATACACATAACAGTAAATATTATCATCCAATTGAAAAATAAATAAATACATTGCCGGTAATGAACTTCAACTACCTTTTTGACCTGAATTTGGATTCAACATCAATATATATTACACGGCCGTCTAAGCCTCCACAAGTAGCAGGCAGTGAAGCCAGCAGTGATAGCTTCAAGCAAAACTGTGAAATAAAATCCATCCAACATGGTCAATGGTTACAGAAAATATTCCCACTTTTCACCACAATCCAAATCTGAATGGATCCCGGTATAAATTTTAACATTAAATGCTACAAAAAACAATATACCTGTGTTTTGCCAATTCCTGCTGGACCAACCAACTCTGTTAAAACACCAAAAGGAATGCCGCCGCACAAGGCTTCATCCAAACCTTTCAAACGACTGGGAAGATGACCTGCCGACGTCTCGTTGCGTACTCGCTGCTCCAGCAGAAGTAACGCCTATTACAGTATTACCACAAGATTTAGTAATTTCTGAACAAATTGGAAATACTAATAGTAAAATCTAAAAGGAAAGAATGTAGAACATGTATCTAAACGTACAGTTTGACACGGTGGACACACGACTTCGCTAACATGCGCCATTGCGGATGTTACTTCTTCCTTTCCAACGTCCAATAATTCCATCAACTCAAATTCAGTGTGAGACAAAGCATCCTGCAATTTAAAGTAAATGGTTTTTTTTTTAAAACAAAAATAGTTACTTTCAATTGAATCCACCTACGGACAAAATAAAAATTACAATAGAATATTCTAGCACCAAACGACCCTAGCTATTAAGATTATACATAAAATAATCGGTGATACAGTGGAAGGTATTTTGAACGAGCGATTAAGTTGGAGTAATGAGAAACTGAATGCGATTAGGGTTTGGTACCATATGAATTTGAAAATGGCAGTGTAAGAGGTGAATATATAGCAGAGTTAGTGAGGAAACACAAAAATGGAATATAAAGGAGGTGGAATTGGTTACCTTGGCAGTGATAATGTTGCGAGCAGTGAAGATATTGGAGATGGATTTGGGCAATCCCATCTGATTGATGAGCTTGTTCGCCATTTTTCCCTCCTTTCCTCTTCTCCTGCTTCCCGCCAAAACCAGACCCTCAAGGTTAATTTAGATGGATTCTAGTATTAAATATAAATTCAATGTATATTTTTAGGAAAAAAATAAAATTATATATATATATATATATATATATATATATATATATATATATAATCATTATTTTCTTAGAAATGTAATTTGCTTGAACGATTATAAATTTTTAATAAAAACTTAATATATAACTATGAGACTTTCAATTCTAAGGATATATAATAATAATAAAATAATATTTCATTTATTTTTGAGAGATAATATGGCAAATTTTGGTGATTTGTACTTTTATTTTTATCTTTTTTTCTATTGTTATAGAAATTAAAATTTTTAATAATTTTTTAGTCTCCTACTTTTATTTATTCAATATATAATAATATAGGAATGGTAACGCTGGATTTAACCTTTTCAACTTCCTCAATCATTTTCGTTTTTTAATCTCTATTTGGATTATAAATTAAATATCCATATTTATTATTCTATATATTTTAGTGTCTGATGCATATTATTTTTCAAAATAATAATTATACTTTAATATTAACATTATTATCTTCTATTTTATACATAAAAAAATATTTATAGTTTTATAATTTTAAATTTATAATTAATTAAGTATATTTAAATTTATTATATTTATATTAAATATATATATATATATATTTAATATTTTTATAAAAATATAAATATAAATATTTATAATATAAATATAAATATTTATAATATAATAATAATATATTATAATATTATATTAAAACCTTTTATTAATTATTTTAAAATTTGTTATTTTAAAATATTAATAATGTGAAATATATAATTTCTAAGTTAATTTTTATTTAAGTAATATAAAATAATAACAATTTAACTATTAATTATTAAAAGTACAATAATTTAATTAAAATAAAAGTTTGATATATAATAAATAAAATAATAAAATTCATATAAAATTTAATAAAAAAATATAAATAAATTAATAATAAAAATTACTAAGATAATGTATAAAGATAAAAAGGAAAATATATTAAAGATATTAAAAAATAAAATTAATTAAAAAATCAAGAAAATCAAAATAATTAAAATAAAAAATTTGAAAATAACAAAAATAAGAAAAACATAATAATATATTAAAATGACTAATTAAAGAGGTTAAAAAAATATTAAAAATTAAAAGTACAGAAACAAAAAATAAAAATGTAAAATAAATAAAATTGAAAAGGGAAAAATGTAAAATAAAAAATCTTATATATGATATAAAAAATTAATAATATTTAAATTAAATATAAAATTAAGACAAAAATAATAAATTGTTACCGTGACATTTTTACCCTCACTTTTAAAACCGAAAAATTCAAATTATCCACTCAATATTTTCCCTTTCCTGAGGGGAGACAAACCAGCCTTTGCATATACAAATTTAATTTAATAGCTAACCTGATAGAAATGTTAACATGTTTAGAGTATTTCTGTCTCATTTTAGAAAAAAAAAAAAAAAAAAACAAATAGTGACAGAAAAAAATGTCCAATAATTTTAAATATTTTTGTAATATTGAAATTATATGCAACGTTTGTATGGGGTATTTTTTATATAATTTTTTTTTCTCTTTCAATTCTTTATATATATATATATATATATATATATATATATATATTATTTTTTCTGTTTATAGATAAAAATTATATATCCTTTTATATGGTATTTTTTTTTAAGATTTTTTTTTCTTAACTTTATAAATATATGATTCACTATTTCGCCGTTCTTTATACATAGTTTTTGTTTTTTCTTCTAGTAACCATAAAACAGATTAAAAAATATAAATCTCCTTTAATTATAATATAAGTAAAGATGAACGTAACTTTTAAACGGATTGGAAATTTTTTTTTGAAGAGACAATTAATTACATAAACATATCATAATCTTTTCTCAAATTACAGGGATATATTAGCTTTTTTTATTTTAATTCTACATTTTTTTTCAAGTATTATATTTTTTCATTTTATATTAAGTATTGTTTCTGGTGGAATTTTGATCGATTTCGATCCTAAGGGTATTTTGGTCCTAATCGAAATTCTACCATGTAAGTTCTTTTTTACTTAGGCTAGCAATTTGATTTTCAATCGAAAATGTGTATGAGAGTCGAAAACTATAAGTATCGAGAAATACTATTTTTGGTATTTTATGTCTAAAATGCTCGAATCAAACAAAGCAGTAAAGTATCGAACCGAAAAAAGAGAATATTAAATTGCAAGAAAATGCGAAAACCCCAAATTTGCAAGAAATTAAGTTTGCAAGAGAAATAAAAGACAGGAAATCGAAATGTGCGGGAAATGTAAATTGCTAAAACCCATTAAGATTGCATAAAAAGTAAATAACAGGAAATCGAAATGACATTGAATGTAGTATACAAGAATATGAAATTGCTGAATTGAAATGGCTCGAAAGTAAATTACCAAGGAAAATAAAGAAAGCGATAAATGTACTCCGTGAGCAGGGAAATCCAGATTGCCAGAAACTTCATGGTGTTCGTCGTTCCTCCGGTAGACGTTTTCACTGCTGATTCTGCGCTCTGCCAATTTTTGCTCCCCCTTGTTCCTTCCTTCTTTGCTCTATTTATAGGGCATCCTTCAAGCCTTCTAAGAGCAGTTAATACGACTGCTACCACGTTCTACGTGCGTATGACAGTTTATCTTCTAGTTTCCCACGATCTCACGATCTCCAACTTTTACCCATGATTTCAAAACTGCTCTCTATACGTGCATTCGACTTACTTCCCTTCACGATTTGGCCAAAATCTCGATGTCCCCATTGGCTTTCTTTATTCTCGATTCTATATCTTTCGAGAACTTCGAATTGCTCACGATTCCTTTTTAATCCTGATCTTATATGACTTAGTTTTTATTTGACAACAGTCATTTGATTACAATTCATTCGATTCTCGATTGTGTTTCTCGATGCTATATGCTACGTATTTCTAATTAGACATCGAATGAACTTTTGTTTATCTTATCGAGTCATATTTCTTCCTTTCGATTTCGATCGCTTTTCTCAATTTGCCACTAACAAGTATATATCCTCTTAACTAAAAACTATTATTTTAAAAAATATAAATATCTCTCGTAGAGTGATAAAACGAATTATATTTAGATTGGGTCATTAATTTATCTTAAAAAGATTGTTTCTTCTTGCATCTATAATTTGTTCCTATATTCTCATAATTAAAATAAATCTTATTTTATTTTTAAACAGAACAATATTTTTGAAATTAATTTTTTAAAATATATTATGAATTGGATATTTTGAAACTATTTTTAAATTGATAGTTACAAACATATATTATGGATTTGATATTTCAAAAATGTATTTTGGATGAGTTGTTATAGAACTGTATTCTAAATTAATTATTCTATAAATATATTTTTGATTGGTTGTTTTGAAATCTATTTCCAAAACACTCATTCTAAATGTGAGTTTGGAAATATATTTTTGGATTAAGTGTTTTATAAATATAATATGAATTAATTGATCTGTAACTCATTTTTTTGTTTGAAAATACATTCCATATTAATTAGTCTAGATTTTTATATATATTTTCAATCCAGTTTTCATAAATATTGAAACAAGTATTTTTTAATAGATAAAAAACATTGAATTAATAAAAAGTATATTTTGATTATTTTATATGATTACAAAGGTGTAAAAAGAAATTACGAGATACAGGAATAAAGAAACCCTTACAAATAACAAGATATATTAATAGTTATAATTTGTTAGATTAGTTTAACTCATCTTATCTAGTCTATTAATAATGGAATGATACTCTAAAATTTTTTAATATTTAAATAAAATAAAAAATATTATATTTTTATCATTTGATTAAAATATATAATATATTATAATATTATAATTTTAATTATAAATATTAACTAATTAAATTTAAATTATTGATTATAATGATATATTTTAACATACAAATATAATATTTGTTAAAATTTATTTAATAAAACAATTAATTAATAAATAAAAATTTAAAATATTATATATATATATATATATATTTTTTTTTTGTTAATGAGGTGAGTTAAGATTTGTAATTTATTATCCTATCCTCGTCTTATTTTTTACAAATTCAAAATGGGATGATTTAAAGTGGGACAAGTCCATGTTTTGTTATCCTATTGTTAAATAATGTCAAATAAATCACTGTTTACAATGTTAAAATTTTCATTTTCATTGTTTTTACATAAATTTATTTTTGTATTATTTTTATAGTAAAAGTATAAATGTAAGTTAAAAATTTATCATGTTAAATAAAAATGATTCATATGTTTCATTCAAACAACTTAGAACATTTTTAATAATATTATATGTGTTTTTCTATAAAAATTATTTATTCAAAATATGAAGCTTTTGAATTTTCTTAAAATTGATTAAACTATTTACTATTAGAATAAAATTATATATTAACCTTTTTTTAGAGTGATATAGCATTGGTTGTGAGAAGTATTAACTACAAATTTGAATACATTATAAAATTTAAATGAAATTCTCACGTTGAAAATGTCAGTAGCAAACATCTAAGTAGCTAGCTGTCGCAGGGGAGGCAACCACAAACTACAGCTGGAAGCTTTTGAACAAAGAAAGTTGACTGGTGAGTTCGTTTCTATTTCGTCACTCATCACAAATAGCCACGTCACTTCACGATGTAGCTGCCACAATCCTTTGATGGAATGAAATCGAATATTCCATTGACCGGGCATCGGATGCCAGTTAAATCCATTCGTGGAATTTGTCCCATTTTGTTTGATGAAAAAAAAAAAAATTTGTTGTTCGGAGGTAGGGTGATTCAAAGTTTTTCAGTTTTAAAAAATTAAGAATAAAGATGGATAATCTAATTTTTATTTTGTTTCGTAATCATATTTTATATTTAAATTTAAATTTAAATTTTAAAATATTAATATTTTAAATT